CCCTCCACCCAGCACCCTCAGCCTCACCTACCCGGGGACCCCGCAGACGCCGCGTCCCCTCCCCAGTTCCGGGCTCTGCGTCCCGGGCGCTCCGAGGTCTGAGAAGAGGAAAGGAGCTCCTCCGCCTCCTTCTCCTCCTCTTCTAGAGCGGCCGCCGTCGCCGCCTCGCTCCTCCCCCAGCTCTCCCCGAGCCGGACGCCGCCCCGCCCCCACCGCCCCTTTCCCGGCTTCGGCCGGGCGGCGGGCTGGGGTTCGCAGCCGCGGCTGGGGGCCGGAGTGCCAGCGGATCCACACCGACCTCGCCGGGGCTCGCGCTGTTCGCCCCGCCCCGGAGCCCGCTCGGGCGCGTGCGCGCCAGCCAGCCAGCGCACAGGCGCGTGCTCGCGCCGGCGCGAACCCGACGCGCCGAGCTCGAGGCCGTTGCAGCCACCCGGCGCGCGAAGGCCGGGCGGGAGGCGGCCCGCGCGCCAGGGATCTGCGAGTGGAGAGGCGCCGGGCGGGAGGCGGGCTCCAGTCCGTCGGGTTACCGCTCCTCTCGAGACCCAGCCCCTCGCGCCTCGCACCGCCCGCCGGGTCGCGCGCCTCAGTTGAGGGTGCTCGGGCGTCGCCGGGAACTGGGAATAACGAGGAAGGGTAGGGATTGGAGGAGTGGGTCGGCAACAAACTAGATGAAAGTGGGGACGGGTAGTACTAGAGCACGTGCCCACGTGCAGAACAGCCCAGGCCCACAAAGAGCCGGGCGGCGTGGGGAGGGGGGTAACAGCGCGCTCTGGGAGTGAAGGACCGGAGCTGGAACTGCCGGAAAGAGCCGAAACTCCCCCGGAGATTGCCGAAGGCGGGCGCATCGAGAGGAACCGTGCGAGGGGCTTTATAATATCTAGGCTCCCGCGGGGACGCGCGCTCTCAGGCCGCGTTGCCTTTCGCTGCTCCCGACTCCGCCCCATGGCCTTCCAGCGCCTTCTCCTTTGCCTGCTTCCCGACTCAAGTTTGACTCCAAAAAGCCGTTTCAGAGTCCCTGACCTCAGGCAACTCCCGGACGTCCGGACTTCGTGGCCGCTCAGCTTCCTGGGAGTCCGTAGAGGCCGGTGCGGGATCGAGGGCAGGATAACCTCTGGACTTGAAGGTTCTCTACCACGTATGCCAGACGCTGCCCAAGCCCATTTCTGAGTCGGATCTCTGGTTTGCTCAGCCGTCTACATTCCTCCGTGCGGCTGTGGTCAGGCCGCCAGTGAATCTTTCTGTTAAATATCCTTCTGACTTCATGATCAGATTCCCAACCTCCCCAGGGCCAGAATCGTCTGTAGTATGTGTGCAACCTTCTACCCAGTGTCCTGAAAGTGTGAAGTACTCACCCCACCGTCAACTGGTCAGTGGTCGATTAGGAGCGGCCAGAGGCTGGGGATTTAGACAGCATTGAAAAGATTAATCAGGATCTGTCCCCATGTTGTTAGCTTTTGAGGCCAAAGCTTAAGGAACTCTGGACAGGCATCAGCGACAAACCTGGAACTGTATATGAGTATGTATAGCTAGACACCACAGGCACAGGTTTGTTTTCCAGATGTTCGTTACTGCAGTCGCAGTACCTGCAATGAAGTAGTGTATGTAATAGATCTCAGCCAGATCTCAGATACCCAGAAGTTATCTCGTCCTTTGTGTTTAACTTTGCGCGAGGTTGGAGGGTCAAAAATACCCCGCAGCCCACTGACCCCTGGCTAATAAAGCCTGGTCTAATCCAATCGTATCACTTACAGATCTAAATAAGCAAAAGACTAGGTCACCCAGCTAGCAAGGGCATTATACATAGGTTGCTTACTATTGCATCTTTTCTCAAAATATTCAAATACAAGCAAACTTTCCAAATATCTGCTTTCTTTTCATTCACTAAATTGAAATAAGTACCCAATGAGTGGTAAGCATTGTTCTAGGTTTTGGGTCACTTACAAAGAAGAATGAAAGCAAGATTATCCCCAAGGAGAGTATCCTATTGTAAAGGAGGATAAAAGCTATTAAATAATTAACTGTAATAGCATGTGAAAAGTGTCGAAACAAAAAGTGCAAAGTGTTGTAGGAACACAGGAATGAGTGACTAATTCTTCCACAATGTCCCTTCCTTCCCATACAGAGTAGAAATGGAATGCTATGACCTTGCTTAACGGGAAACTTCATGCTGCTGAAGAATGGTACCTGACCAAGAGAATCCAAGATCCCTTCCATAATGACAGATTTCACCTACCAAAAGTTGCCTAGAAAACTCTTCATTATAGGGCCCCTTGTTGCTGCAGAACCAATATTGTTTCTTTGGGAGGAAAATAAAGTCTACTTTTGGAAATCTCACAGTGTTAGGAAAGACATCTGATGCCTCTCCTAAGATAGCCAGTGGTCTAATGGGAGACAGTTTTTATATGCGGATATTCCATATGTAGATATATAGAAGGGAGGTGAGTTAAGGAGCATACATAGGCCCAATCTATGAGAGCTGTCAAAGCATCACTGGAAACCTAACAATGTGAAGAATATCATATTTAACAGATCTCTAAGAGAGAGTTCTGAGTGTAGTTTAAAGTGTGGTTGAAAGTGTGGGTCACATAGAGCATACAACTTGCTAAGTGGAGTTTGCAAGAGGGGTACTGTAACTCATGGCCCACTTTCACCCTTTCTCCATGCCACATTCTATCTCTCCAAAAAGACATTGAATAAATGTTTCAAAAATATCTTTGGGACCTGAATTATAAAGATTAATTTTATCTTGGTTCTTTACATATATGTTTTCTATTGTGTATGCATAATAAAACAAAATGATCATCGACTGCTTTGAAATAATTGCAAAACTCCATGCTGTCAGTGCAGAGCCTGCTTGGGACTCTCTCCCTCTGTCTAAAAACAAACTTTTTAAAAAAGGAAAGAATTGCAAATTGTTTAAAGTCCATCTGTAAATTATACTGGAGGTACTGGAGGACAAGAAATGCTGTAATAAATTCGACATATAATACTTGTGACATACTCTGAAGAAAACACAAAAACAACCAAATTTCTGAAATGATTAAAGTGACTGCTAAGGATTGCAAAAGATCATTTTGAAACAACATCCATATGTCTCAGTTCAGCCTTAAGGGAATTAATTTATCCCAGGTTACCTAATGATCAAGTGGCAAAATTAGAACTAAGGATAAGTCATGACATAATCTTCATCTTGACAGATATATTTTGCAGATGTTAAAAAGACCTAATTTGACATGTTTTCAAATAGATCCTGGAAATCAAAATTTTTCTTATGTTTGTTTGAGTTGATATTTTGTATCTGAAGTGATTGATTGTCAGATTCCATATTTTTATTAGGAAAAAAAAGGCTGAATTTAGTCTGAGAAAAATTTTCCTCATTATCTTGGAGACTTGATAATTAATGACTGTAATTAACATGATTTTCTTAGAAGTCTCTGCTAACTAAAGTTGAAATTACAAACCAGGGGTGCCTGGGTGGCGCAGTCGGTTAAGCGTCCGACTTCAGCCAGGTCACGATCTCACGGTCTGTGAGTTCGAGCCCCACATCAGGCTCTGGGCTGATGGCTCAGAGCCTGGAGCCTGCTTCCAATTCTGTGTCTCCCTCTCTCTCTGCCCCTCCCCCGTTCATGCTCTGTCTCTCTCTGTCCCAAAAATAAATTAGAAAAAAAAAAAAAGTTGAAAAAAAAAATTTTTTTTAATAAAAAAATAAATAAATAAATAAATAAATAAATAAATAAATAAACTACAAACCACTATAGGCAAGAAGACCACCAGAGAATGTCTCATAAGGTGTACTTTTCTCTTTGATTGCCCCACCTCTAGTACCTAATAAGAGTATTCATGTGGGCAGACCAAACTTTGTGTCTTAGAAACTTAGCATCATGGAGTGCTAACTAGACCTGAAAAAACTGTTCCAGTTGCAAATAAGTTTGGGAAACACTGGGTAAGATAAAGTTAAGCTAGTTTCTTTACATCCCAGAGCATTTAATTTGGTAATGTGCTTTGTTAATCAAATGAATGTACTATATGGTAAGCAACTTTCCCCCAAGGAAGCTTTTTTCCCTAAGAGACTTGTGCATGGGATTCATGTTTCTTTGAACACTCATTTTCTAAAGTTCTATTAAATGGGTTTGATTAGGTCAGCATTTCCCATTTTACAGATAACAAAACTGAGGTACAAAGACAGGAGTAACATAGCCAATTGTATATCAGATGTCTATAGGCTCAGTTGGTTGAGCTTCTGACTTCGGCTCAGGTCATGATCTCACACTCTGTGAGTTTGAGCCCCGCATCGGGCTCTGTGCTGACAGCTCAGAGCCTGGAGCTGCTTCGGACTCTGTGTCTCCCTCTCTCTCTGCCCCTCCCCCGTTCATGCTTTGTCTCAAAAATGAATAAACATTAAAAAAAAAAAAAAAAGAGTGGCATCCATTAGGAACTAAGCCAGCCAGGTGCCGTGAATTTGCCCTTTAGTGACTTTGTTTCTATATGTAAGACCAACCAATAACTAATACTGCTTTACTATAAGTTTATTAATGGAATTTCAGCATGCTCTTTCATTTATACAGCGTGTCACCATTTTTTTAAGTTTATTTATTTATTTTGAGAGAGAGGGAGAGGAAGAGGGAGAGGGAATCCCAAGAAGGCTCCACACTGTCAGTGCAGAACCCAATGTAGGGCTCAAATTCACGGACTGTGAGATCATGACCTGAGCTGAAGTCAGATGCTTAACTGACTGAGCCACCCAGGTATCCCAGTCTGTCACCATTTTTTAAAATTAATAATGACTAACCTCTGCAAAATGTTTTATTGTTTATAAAGCGCTCTCAACACATGGTCTCATTTGATTGTCTCAACATCCCTGTGATGCAGGCATCATTATTCCCATGTGACAAATGAGAAAACTGAGGCTTTAAATTGTTAAGTAACATGTCTGTTGTTTGCATTGTTAAATATCCTGTTATTTGCATGGGGAGAAGACAGTCGCTGCCCTCAAGGGGCTTTGGTATAGTTAAAGAGACAAGACTTACAAACATGAGACAGAGAATGATTATGTAGCAGTATGCACGAAAATGCTTGATAGAATAGTCCAAACTTCACAAGAATACTGAAGGAATTCAAGGGGGAAAGATTACTGGAGATGGAATTAATCAGTGAAGGTATCATTTAGGGATAAACCTTAAGCTGGATCATAAAAGAAGAGTAGAGATTTGGATTAGCAGAGAGGAAAAAGAATTATAGGAAAGAAGAGTGACATCAGCAAAGGCATGAACATGAGAACAGGAAACACACTGATGGAAAAGAATTAGAGTTGGAAGGGAGATGGGTCTAAAATGATCAGCCTTTTGGCTGTGCAAGAAAAGTCAACTGCTGAGAGGCCATGGGTTTCCAGTCACTGAATATAAATAATATGACACCATGTGCCCATATGGAACAGCTATTTGCTTTCCAATCCAAAAGCAGTAAATTTACACTCTCTGCCATGGACCCCAGGAGTGAAAAGGAGAAAGTATCAACAGAAGCCAAGTCCAAACTGGTGGTTATGGGTATATTTCCCCCATATCCTTCCTGTTCCTTTCTTTATACTAATTCATCTGAAAGGTGAATGACCTATTGATGCTAGGAAAAATGCCCCTTCAGGTGGTGCTCACAAAGCCAGACTCTCATGCTAAGTCAGTCACTGCCCAGCAGACGATCAATGTTCCCCACAACATTTCCCAGTCCAGAAATGGGACTAAGGTATGGCACAGAATGGATTTAAAACGATTCCAACTTTCCCATACCGGGAACTGTTGAGACTTGTCAGTGAGGTTTAAACCAAGAAAATTGAAGGTCATACTTAAAGTTATAATAGTTTGCAAATAAGCAGATGGGCTAATGGAAAGGGTGGATGACAGGTGGGGAGAAGGAAAATAATTGGGAAGAAAAGAAAAATGAGAATAAAGAA